GTCTATTGGGATTCCGCCTTCGTTGGACGCTCTGTGCTTCCTGGTTTCGTATTGATGATTGTTGCTTAGCTTTCAGCAAGTTTCAGTCTGATTTTTTTCGAATTAGCTTTTCAGACCTTTTTTTCTTTTTTCTTTTTTCTTTTATTATCTTGCTTTTTCATCTGGGAATCCTATATTTCCTAGCCCAGCATCCTTTGTCTTTTCCCAGATTTCAACAGCAATGTTTGCATTGGTTTTCCCTTGATTTTCTATGTCATCTTTTTACTGACGTTTTTCGGTTCTCGTGTGTTTTCAAACACTTTCAAGTCCCTCTTCATTATCTAGTCTGCCAATTACTGTCTTTAGCCGTGCTATTATGTCACCCATCAAATTTCTTTTTTTTAAGTTTTCATTGATTCATAATCATTTTACAATTTTGTTTCATATTCCAGTGTACAGCACAGTTTTTCTGTTATGCATGAGCTTATATACATTCATTGTCACTTATCTTCATTGTCAGCCAGCACAAAATCTTGTAAATATTTCCCTGTGATACACAGTACAGTCTTGGATATATTTTCTACATTTTGCTATCCCAGTCCATTCCCACCCTCAATCCCTTGGACCAGAAGTTTGTATTCTATGTCTTTGATTCTGTCTCTGTTATATATATATATACATATATATATATTTTTTCACACATGAGTGATCGCATATGGTATTTTTCTTTTTCTTTCTGGCTTAATCTGCTTTGAACGATATTCTCCAGTAACATACATGCTGTTTCACATGGCATTATGTTGTCATATTTTATGTCTGAATAGTATCTCATTTTATAAATATACCACATCTGCTTTATCCAGTTATCTGTTGATGGGCGTTTAGGCTCTTTCCATGTCTTGGCTATTGTAAATAGCTCTGCTATGAACATTGTGGTGCAAGTGTCATTTTGAAGTAGGGTTCCTTCTGTATATATGCCCAGGTGTGGTATCCTGGGTTATATGTTAGGTCTATTCCTAATCTTTTTAGGAATCTCCATGCTGTTTTCCACAGTGGCTGCACCAAACTGCATTCCCTCCAGCAGTGTAGGAGGGTTCCCTTTTTTCCACAGCCTCTCCAGCATTTGTCATTTTTGGACTTTTGAATGATGGCCATTCTGACTTGTTTGAGGTGATACCTCATTTTAGTTTTCATTTGCATTTCTCCAATAATTAGTAATATTGAGCATTTTTTCATGTGCCTGTTGATCATTTGCATGTCTTCTTTGGAGGATTGTTTATTTGGGTCTTCTGCCCATTTTGGATTGGGTTGTTTGTTTTTATTATTATTAAATTGTGTGAGCTGCTTATATATTCTGGAGATCAAGCATTTGTCAATTTCGTTTGCAAAAAATTTTTTCCCATTCCCTAGGTTGTCGTTTTGTTTTACTTATCATTTCTTTTGCTGTGCAGAAGCTTGTAAATTTTATTAGGTCCCATTTGTTTATTCTTTCATTTATTTCTATTGCTTGGGTTGACTGTTCTAGGAGAATATTTTTGAGATGTATGTCAGATAATGTTTTGCCTATATTTTCCTCTAGGAGGTTTATTGTATTATGTCTTATGTTTAAGTCTTTGATTCATTTTGAGTTTATTTTTGTATATGGTGTAAGGGACTGTTCTAGCTTTATTGCTTTATGTACTGCTGTCCAGTTTTACCAATACCATTTGCTGAAGAGACTCTCTTGATTCCATTGAATATTCTTGCCTCGTTTGTTGAAGATTAGTAGACCAAAAGTTTCTGGGTTAATTTCAGGGCTCTCTATCTGTTCCAATGCTCCATATATCTGTTTTTGTACCAATGCCATGCTATCTTGATTAATGTAGCTCTGTAGTATTGTCTGAAACCTGGGAGAGTTATTCCTCCAGCCTCTTTTCTTTTTCTTCAGTAATGCTTTAGCAATTCTAGGTATTTTGTAGTTCCATATAATTTCTTCTTTGAATTTAATAGATGCAAAAAGAGCATTTGATAAAACTCAATGCCAATTTATGATAAAAATTCTCACCAATGTGGACTTATAGGGAACATATCTTAACATAATAAAAGCTGTTTATGACAAACCAATAGCCAGCATAAAATACAATGGTGAAATGCTGAAAACCTTCCTACTTAAATCTGGGAAAAGGAAAGGTTGTCCACTCTCACCACTTCTGTTCAACATAATCTTGGAAGTCCTAGCCACTGCACTCAGGCAAGAAAAAGAAATAAAAGAGATCCAAATTGGAAAAGAAGCAGGAGATAAAGATCCCTGTGATATACAGAAGAAATTTGTTTTTTTAATACAGTTTTTATATATTGTAGCCCACATTTGCAAATCACAAACTCCCAAATTTATCCCTTCCCACTCGCTTTCCCCCAGTAACCATAAAAATATTTACTATGCTTGCAAGTCTGTTTCTACTTTGTTGATGAGTTCATTACTGTCTTCCTTTTCTTTCATTTTTTAGATTTCACGTATAAGTGATACCACATATTTTCTTTCTCTTTCTGACTTACTTCACTTAGAATGATGACCTCTAGATCCATCCATGTTATGATTTTATTCTTTTTTATGGCTGAACGGTATTCCATTGTATAAATATAACACCGCTTCTTTATAGTGTCATATGTCAATGTACATTTAGGTTGTTTCCATGTCTTGGCTATTGTATATTGTACTGCTATGGACATTGGGGTGCATGTATCTTTTCAATTTAGAGTTCCTTCTGGATATATGCCCAGGAGTGGGATTACTAGATCATATGCTTGGTGCAGCCATTATTGAAAACTGTATAGAGATGTCTCAAAAAACTAAAAATAGACTTATTGCATGATCCACCCCCTGGGCATATCTATTTCTGAATGATCTGATTATAATTTATAGAAATCATGTCTCAAATTCAGTGACTATTTTTTAAGATTTTCTCTTATGCAATCACAATATATTTATCAAAATCAGGATACTTAATACTGATTCAGTATTAGTATGTATGCCACAGTTCATATTCAAATTGTACCAGCTGTTCTAATCATGTCCTTCTAAATAATATTTTTCTTGGTCCAAGTGCAATCCAGATATTTGTGGGAAGGTTTTCAGTTTTTCACCATTGAGCATTGCGCTGATTGTAGGTTTGTCAAAAATAGCTTTTATTAAACAAGATTATGTAAATTTTATTATGATTTATTCTACTTCTGTGAAATATGTCCTGGGTAAATTGATAGGGATCACCTTAAATCTGTAGATTGCCTTGGGCATATGACCATTTCAACAATATTGATTCTTCCAATCCAGGAGCACTGGATATATTTCCATTTTTTAAAGTCTTATTTAATTTCCCTCATCAGTGTTTTATAGTTTTCTGTGTAGAAGTCTTTCACTTCCTTGGTTAGATTTACTCCTAGGTATTTTATTACTTTGGGGGCTATTTATTTTTTACATTCTTTTTCTGTTGATTCATCATTAGTGTAAAGAAATGAAATTTATTTTTGAATGCTAATCTTGTAACCTGCTACCTTGCTGAATTCTGTGATTATTTCTAGTAGTTTTTGGGTTTTCTATATATAACATCATATCATCTGCATATAGTGACACTTTTACCTCTTCTTTTCCAATTTGGATTTCTTTTATTTCTTTCTCTTGCCTGATTGCTGTGGCTAGGACTTTCAAGACTATGTTGAATAGGACTGGTGATAGTGGGTAACCGTGTCTTGTTCCAGGTTTTAGTGGGAAGATTTTGAGTTTTTCACCATTTAGTACTATGCTGGCTGTAGGATGTGTAGACATATTTTTGATTTAGCATTCCCTTTGGATAATTGCCCAAGAGTGGGATTGCTGCATCATAAGTTATTTGCATTTTTAGTCTTTTTAGGAATCTCTATACTGTTTTCCACAATGGCTGCACCAAACTGCATTGACACCAACAGAGTATTAGGGTGCTCTTTTCTCCACACCCCCTCCAGCATTTTTCATTGGTGGACTTTTGAATGATGGCCATTCTGACTAGTGTGAGTTAATATTTCATTGTAGTTTTGATTTACATTTCTCTGATAATTAGTGATATTAAGCATTTTTTCATGAGCCTATTGGGCATTTATGTGTCTTCATTGGAGAATTGTTTGTTTAGGTCTTCTGCTCATTTTGGGGTTGGGTTGTTTGTTTTTCTTATTAAGTCATATGAGCTGTTTATATATTCTGGAGACCACACTATTGTCAGTTTCATGTTTTGCAAATATTTTCTCCCATTCCATAGGTTGCCAATTTGTTTTGTTTATGGTTTCCTTTGCTGTACAAAAGCTTGTAAGTTTAATCATATCCCGCTTGCTTAGTTTTGCTTTTATTTCTATTGTTTGACTAGACTGCCCTAGTAGAACATTGTTGAAATGTATGTAAGATAATGTTTTGCCTATGATTTCTTCTAGGAAGTTTACTGTGTCTTGTCTTATGTTTTAGTCTTTAATCCATTTCGCATTTATTTTTCTGTATGGTGTAAGGGAGTATTCTAACTTCATTGATTTACATGATGCTCTCCAGTTTCTCCAACACCATTTGCTGAAGAGATTCTGTTTATTCCATTGTATGTTCTTGACACCTTTGTTGAAGTTTAATTGACCAAAATTTTCTGGGTTTATTTCTGGGCTTTCTATCCTGTTCTATTGATCCATATTTCTGTTTTTGTACTAATACTATGCTGTTTAGATTACTGTAGCTTGTAGTATTTTCTGAAATCTGGGAGGGATATTTCCTCAACTTTATTATTTTTCTTCAGCAATGCCCCGGCAATTTTGTGTCTTTTGTGATTCCATAAAAAATTAAATATGATTTGTTCTATTTCTCTGCAGTATGTCCTAGGTAATTTAATACAGGTTGCATTAAATTTGTAAATTGCCTTGGGCAGGTGCATGGGATATCTTTCCATTTTTTCAGGTTTACTTTAATCTCCTTAATCAAAGTTTCATTGTTCTTCATGTATAACACTTTCACCTCCTTGATTAAATTTATTATTAGATATTTTATTACTTTGAGTGCTATTTTAAAAGGGAGTGTTTCTTTACATTCTTTTCCTGATGATTCATTATTAGTATAAAGAAATGCAACCGATTCTTGTCCATTAAACTTGTATCTGCTACCTTGCCAAATTCTTTTATTTGTTTTAGTTTTGTGTGAAACTTTCAAATTTTTCTGTATTGAGTATCATGTCATCTGCATAATAGTCACAATTTTACCTCTTCCTTTTCCATTTTGGATCCTTTTTATTTCTTTTTTCTTACCTGATTGCTGTGGCTAGGGCTTCCAAGACTATATTGAATACAAGTGGTGAGAATGACAACCTTGTCCTTTTGAAGATTATACTGTATAGCACAGGGAAATATATACAAGATCTTGTGGAAGCTCAAAGCAAAAAAACAATGTGACAATGAATATATGTATGTTCATGTATAACTGAAAAGTTGTGCTCTACACTGGAATGTGACACAACATTGTAAAATGACTATAACTCAATTTTTAAAAGTTAAGAAAAGCTTTTATTATATTGAGATATGTTCCCTCTATAACCATTTTGGTAATGTGTTTTATCATAAATTAGTGTTGAATTTTATCAAATGATTTTTCTGCACCTATTGAGATGATTGTGTGTGTGTGTGTGTGTGTGTTTTCTCTTGTGATGCATTACATTGATTGATTCATGTATGGTGCAGCATCCTTGTGTTCCTGGGATGAATCCAAATTGATCATGGTGTATGATCTCTTTTAAGTGCTGTTGGACTCTGCTAATATTTTGTTGGGGAGTTTTGCATCTATGATCACCAGTGATATTAGTAAGTAATGTTGATTTTTGGTAGTACCTTTGTTTTTGGTATCAGGCTAACGGTGGCTTCATCGAATGAGTTTGGGGGTACTCTCTCTTTTTCAGTCTACTGGAAGTGTTCGAGAAGGACCGTTATGAGTTCTTTGTATGTTTGGTTGAATTCCTCAGTGAAGCCTTCTGGTCCTGGACTTTTGTTTCGAGGTAAGCCTTTATTTCCAATTCAGTTTGATTTCTCCTGATTGGTTTGTTCAACTGGTCAATTTTTCTTCATTCAGTCTTGGTGGACTCTATGTTTCCAGAAACTTGTCCATTTCTTCTAGGTTATCCATTATGTGTCCTAGTAGTTGTTCATAGTATTTTCATATTACATTGTGTATTTTGTGGTATTGTTTGTAATTTCTCCATTTTCCTTTCTTA